ATTAGTGTTTTTTTCCAGATATAAATTGAGCATTTAACTTAAATTACAAATGTGTTATGAAGGATTTTGGTTATTGATCTCTCTTAACTGAATTAATATTGAATGAAAAATTTATTCTCGGTGGTGTGAGTTTTTTTTTTTATATAAATCATTGTTGCTAAACATCAACACAATTCTTACTAAGTGGTTGGATATTTTACTCTAATGTCAAATGTATAATGTAACATATTGAGTATACACTTGAGTATATTGTAAGTTGTGCTTTTAATCAAGCTGAATTTTACAAACTGAATTATGGCCACTTCAACAAGATATGAGCCCGTTTGGTAAGTGTTGCCTTATGTAACTCCAAGAAACTTCTCTGGTCTGAGTAAGATTACAACTTCTGTCAAGATCTGTTGTCATGTCTCCTGGTTATTTAATATATATACATTATGTATTGTGTATTGATTATTGTATTGTGTTATTTAAAGACTCTGTCTCTAGTGATCTCTTCTCAGGAAAAGAAACTGAGATAAAGCTTCAAGGTAGCTTCAACCACAGAGCTTTCCATAACATGGGCAACGGCCCACCATGACCCTGTTAGAGGGAGAAGATGGATGGATGGTAATAGTAGTACTCGGGGCGGGAATCAATTTATTCTTGTGTTCAGTATAGACTATCTTCTCCTCTACATTTTTTCCAGAGCTGTTCTGAATTATTTTTCATTTACTAATCTAGCTTGTAGTAGACAATTATTTTTTGTTAATGATAAAAAATGTTTTTTGTACATAATCTAGCCAAGTTTATTTTACTTTATTGTTTAATATCTGTTATGATATTGTTTTTTTGGTTATTTAGTCATATTCGTTTATTTTTTGGTTAGTTACGATTAATGTAGGTTAATCATTTTTTATAAATAGGCAGTCAATGAGCAGCATGCATCTGGGTGGGCGTATGGTTTGTTAACCAGCACAAGAGAAACATGGAGGAAATGTTTGTCTTTTTGTTTGCTTGCCTGAGGAAAAAATAAACTGACAAAACTAAAGGAGTTTACTTGGAACATTTTTTCTTTTGCCTGCGTAAAATAAGTCCATGGTGCAACTGTGGCCTTTGTGGATTTTCACTTTTTTGAGCCATCAAAGCTGGGCCACAACACCAGTTTTCATATTTTCCTCCTTTTTCATTATTTTTATTTTTTAAGTAACTTTAAGGACCTTGCGGTATCCTGTACAATCAGGGCAGAATAAGGAGGGTAGCAGAGGTGTCAAGTAACAAGTACAAATACTTCATTACTGTACTTAATTACACTTTTTAGGTATCTATACTTTACTCCATTATGTATTTTTCCTCCTACTTCTGACTTCTACTGATTACGTTTTCACACAAGTATCTGTACTTTCTATTTCTTAAATTTTTAAAACAAACGTTACTTGTTATTCTTGGCTTCATCCTCTGCCCCGCAGCATCCAGACCTCCTGCTCAAAGCAAAGCCTACAGCCTCTGCGGTTCCTCCCGTATTGCTGCCCTCCGACTTATCCTCGGAATTCAGGCAGAGCATGCGCGGTATTATCATTAAATTCGTCAGAGCAAAAACATGCAGAAATGAACGCTTAATTTAATATGACATATTAAAAAAATCCCCATCAGCATCCAGCAGATGTGCGGTTTCTGATGGAGATGAGAAATCTGCTTCCTGGTCTGTTGAAGGACCAATAGTTTGCATCCAGTATTTTAATTAAACGGTGTTAGTTTTTTTAAATGAATAGAATTATGCTCTAATGTGTAGTTACCGATCTGTTGTTACTATAGTTTAATTTGTCAAACCGGAACTCCTTGCCGTTCTTTTTCCTGTTTGGTGTGATTGCAATAGTGGATCTTGACCTGGCCGGACCAGAGCAGAGCCTGAACATTTAGAGGATGTTTGGCTCAACCTGCTGCTGTGAAGCAGGATTCTCCACCATGAACAGAATCAACAAATATGGATCCAGGCTCAAAATGAGCATCTTGATACATGGGCGTAGGCTTGCATAGGGACCATAGGGACATGTCCCTACAAACATTTTGGATCAACCGACTTGTCCCTACCAATAATTCCAAGTGAACAACATGTTATAATTTACAGCAGTAGTTGTTGAAGCAGTGGCTTCTTTTCCTCCCGCAGCTCCTCTGCCTGGTAGCTGCAGCTGCCTGCTCTTTCCTTTCACATAGCGGCACATGGAATTTTGCTGCACTGTTTAACTCTCTGATATTTCTGCCTTAACTTCCACCTCATTTTCAGATTGCTTGTTTTCTAGTCTGGATGTGCGCGTGTGCGTGCTTGGAGCGCGGGAAAAAAAAAAATAACGCTAGAATACGACGGTTACCAAAATTGATATTAGGCGACAAAACTAGTCCCAATAAGCTCTATGCACAGCTCCACTACTTCCTGAATTTAAGGCAGCTCCTTTTGTTTCCTGTCTTTCATGATTGGATGCACTGATTAATCCAGGTGTGTATGACCTAAGTAACTGGCCAGACACACCTGGATTAATCAGTTCGTCCAGTAATGAAAGACAGGAAACAAAAGGAGCTGCCTTAAATTCAGGAAGTAGTGGAGCTGTGCATAGAGCCCATTAAAAAACTAAATATTATCTAGGCTAAAACAGGCGAATTGTTCTGATTGCAGTTCTGTAAAGAAGCAGGAGAGAGTTTGGATTTGTAGAACTTGAGAAATGAAAGTAACCAACATTGGGATTTATTTTCAAAAACTAAATATTCTGAGTCAGACAAGAGTTCAGAAAACTGCTGTTAAAATGAACAAAGACTGTAAACTATTAAAATTTCTGATTCCCTTTAACAGTATATCTTTGCTATTACTGTTATTTTATGAGAGGTAAAAGTAACAGGCGTTATTTCTTTTGCAGAACGTAACATGAGAAGGATGAGAAGGATTAGGGCTGCGACTAATGATTATTCTGCAAAGTGTTAATCTGTTGATTATTTTTTTGATGAATCGATTAATAATCAGATCAGCCAAATGTTCCTTAAAGAAGATTTCGTATGAAATGAAACCAGGTGAAACAGAAATGTTTCCTCTTGAGGAGTTCTGGATGCAGAATATTGACAGACAAACTTTTTTTTATCTTAAATACAAAATGTTTACATATTTTTTAGGTATAATTCCTGCTCTAAGTGGGTCGCTCTGTCGGCTAAAGGTACATTTTAGTGGCCCTATACTCCAGTTAATGATTAATCAATTACTAAATCAGTTGATGATTATTTAAATAATCGATTAATATGATTAATTGTTTCAGCCCTAGATTAAATACATGAAATGGGTGATACAGAGTAACTACAGTCAGATATACAACTTGTATAGTGAAGTTAATATTCTAAATGCTCAGTGTCAGTTCCTCTTATAGTTCCAGTGCTCATGTAAATACAATACATTCATTTGTGTCCCTTGAATGTATTATTTTGCAAGATACAGAGAGATCATATTAGATTAAAAAAATAAGAGTGGGTGTTACCTCTGCACAATTCTATATCTTCAAAAGAAAACACAGGATAAATCCACATATAACAGACATATTTAGACTATATTTGGTTAAATAGGAACATATTTACCTTCTGTCTTAGTCGCTAGTAAGTTTAAATGCAAACATTTTCAAAGTGGAAAAAGTCCTAATTCCACATTCATCACAGCCAGTGATGCTTTAAACATTGCTAAACAGCATCTAGTGAGTGTAGTGCTTATAAGATTTGTATTAATGTAGCAAGAAATACTGCTGTTCTCTTTAAACAAAACCCTGATGCTCACATTAAGCATAAAAAAGAGCATGAATATTTTTGCAAAGGACCAACGACATCAGACCAATGAACCTGAAGACCAATAGTGTCCCTACAAAAGTTGAAATCAAACCTATGCCCTTGCCTTGATATGCGCTTGGGAATAGCTTAGTCTCCATTCAAACCCAGGTTTAAAGCCTTGGAGGGCAGCCTAAAGCCCACTGCCAACATTAAGACAGAAAAAAGAAAGAAAATAGCAAACACTCAGTTCAGGTGTTTTATAAAATATGGGAATCAGGAAATTGTCTATATACCAAACTATACAAAACAATTGTTCTCTATTTAGATTTTAAAATGGAAAAAGTTTCTTTTTTATATATATATATATATATATATATATATATATATATATATATATATATATATATATATATATATATATATATATATATATAGATATTTTTTTTTTTTTTTTTATTTGACAATTCTATGTTTATATAACATGAATGCATAAATACCTCATTTTTATTTCAGTGTTAAATTCTGTTTAAAGTAACATATCATTAAAAATGTCTCCAGACCTTTACTGGATGATGATTTTCTTTATTCGGACCCCACTGATTTTTAATTGCTTACCTCTGGTATAATGTTTCTAAATCTTTATTTCCCGTCATGTGCTCCATCCAATGCAGATCATTGGCTCCACCCACATCTAGTGAAAACTAGTGTGATTGGATGAGTCATAGAATGCAAACACTCATTGGTTAGCTAAAGGAAATCATCAGAAGCCAGCAGGTGTTCTTCAAACTGCTAACGTGAATTGTCTATGCCATGCTACAATGTTGGATTCAGAAAAAGATGTTGAAACGTCTGAAAGGTCGGACACAGGCGAGAGCGTATCGGGAGACGGAGACCAACAAGACCTCCCTCGTCCTTGGAAGATTTTAAAATGATACTTTATACTTTTATTCTTTAAGTAGTTTTTGGAGCACATGCTTTTTCACTTTTACTTGAGTAAAGAGGTCAAGTTGATCCTTCAACTTTTACCAGAGTGTTTTTAAACTGCAGTATCTATACTTCTACTGAAGTAACAAATATGTGAACTTTTGACACTACTGGAGGGTAGTCTAGAGAGGCAAAATCGATGAGCCAACAAGCAGCTTCAGTTCAGCTTCAGTTGTTAAACTCAAAAACATCAACATCCTTCTTAAATACTGAACCAGACCCCAAACCTCCATCTTAATACACACCTGGGAGTAAAGACTGTAGACGGCCAGCAGGGACATGGGGAAAAAGATGCCGATGACAATCTTTGATAATAAATCTCCTCTCTCATTTTTATGAAGCCAGCAGAACAGGTCTTCTTTGATAACCCAATGGCTACGACCATTACCATTTATGTCATAGACAGGGTAGCTGATGTTGCTGCTGTGATTATAACTTAAGTCCAAAGCAGTTTTTTGGTTTTCCATCTTTAAAGCAGAACCTGTTTGAGTGATTTAGTTATAAGAGAAAAGAGAGATTTTGATCATGAACAAGTGAAACAGACATTATAGCTTTACTCATGCAAAGATTTATTGGTGATGAAAAATAAATGACATAAAGTTAGAACAGTGGAGCAGGATTCATTTTTCTTTTTTCATATTGAAACTTATTTATTTTATATGCTTTTGTAATATAAAAGACAATTAATTCTATAAAATTACTCTTCTTGCTCTTATAAAAAAAAAAAACTGTGATGTAGTTTTCATAGCATCCAGCAGAGGATGCCAATGGACACTGTCCTTAGATGCATGGAGCACGGTGTAGAGTTTTGACAAATTGTATCATGTTTGTTCATTGGTTCATAGGACTTCTAAATTGCCATCACTACATCTCAGGCCTCAGTCCTTTTTCAAAGCTCTAAAGCCCATCTTTCCCCTCAGCCTCTCAGTCTTCAGCTGATTTTCTAAAACTCCGGGGGCATTAATAGGCTATTACTAATAAACCAAGCACATCTGACTGGATAGAATCAGTTCAGCTATTCATTTGTGTGGAAAAAGTGGTAAAATAATTCAAACTATCATCAGCCGAGTATTGGCTCCAGTCACAGGAGGAAAGGAGGGATCTGGAGGGTATAAACACATTGTCACCTTTTAATCTGTTGAAGATCCTTTGATATATCATAAAATGAACTGATAAATGCTCTTTAGGTTACTATGTGTGGATTGCAAAAAAATTATTTTTTCTGCAATTTTATGTCAAAATAGTAGAAAAAATAGATTTTTTAAAAACTTTTTTATAATTACATTTTTCTTAATTGTATCTGTAATTTCTAGGCTTTTTGCAAAATTATGTCAAGATAACTAGCTAAATGCACTTAGAAAATAAAAGCAATTAAGAGCAGGTCAATACTTTGTAGCAAGGTTTAAACTTTTATTCTGATATTCACTGGAACTCCTTCCTGTCTGATGCCCGACTGCTCCTGTTTTTAGGAGCCTGCTGTCGAGCCAGTAACTGGACCCACACTTTACTGAAACTAAGTGTAAACACTAATATTATTGATTTGGGTTCCTTGGGGAACTGAACTGCAGTCAGACTCTAGTCAGTGAGGGCCTGGCTTAAGACGTTATCTGAGATAAGTGCCTTCAAATATGTCTGATAAGATTATCAGCATTTTATCTGACTTAAGAATTTTAAATAACATGAAACTAAGAATGTTCAGATAGATTAACTATCAGTTTATTGAAACATCATATCACATTGACAGCAATTAACGCTGAGGCATTAAGTAAATAGAAATGAAACATTTTTCTTATGATTAGAATTAATCAAATGTCTTATGTTATTCTAAATTGTATAGAAAGTGATGAAAATATTTACCTTAGACAGCCTTCAGATCAGATGTGTTTCCTCCACCTGAGTGAAAGTGGTTGTCCTCTGCAATCACTCAGTCATCAGCGTATATAGTTACTGACATCAGGCTGCTGTTAGACACACCTACCTCAGCTGTTCCTGAGAAACCAGCATCTGTTAACATGTTCAACCCAGAAGGTGTAGGAGGTTGCTTGAAAATACACTTTAAATACAACAAGAGTAGCTTTACAGTGATTGAGCCTGAATGTAAACTTCTAGTGAATGTGGTTAGCTAAGAATAATTTCCAGTGGAACCACTATTACAACTTTACTGGGTCTGATTAATTGTTGATTAAATAAAGAAAAATGTACCTAAGCAACAGAGCAAAACAACATAAATTAGTAGACGCCTCTGTTTGGCAACCAACAAAGCCTCAAAGAGTTTAGAGGCCAGTGTGCTGAGAGCAATTATATTTTTTACTAACTCAGTCAAAGGAGCCAAAATGGTGCTGATTGTGTTTTTTTTTTTTTACCAAATATAGAGTATTCTGTTAAAATTAAAGTGTCTAATTTTATTGATAGACTCCTTCTGGATATGGCAAAGCATTTAGTTAAAAAATATTCCAGGTATATTATCAGCATAGTCCTCAGAAACCTTAATACCACTTTCTAAACCTAAAACCCATCCATAGCATCAGTGGATGTCAAAATGAAATAACAATGTACCAGTAGAGAGGTGAAACTCTCTGATGTGAATAATAGAGGTACGGGGGAGTGCATCATCTTGCTTCTGCATTATTAGACCCAAAATAGGGACTTTGTCGAGTATTACTGCCACAAAGGTTGGATGGATGTGACCTGGCCGTTCAGACATAAGTCGCCTTTGAAAGGATCAAAAGTTCAGATATGCCTCAGATTTAGGCCACATAGCCAAGTGGCCTGGGTCGTATTTTAAATATTCACATTGTTGCAGTTCAGGCAGTCATGAAATGATCAGACACAGGTCGCATCTGGGCAAAAAATGGATTTGGGTTACTTCAGTCTAGGTTGTTAACATAACCTTAAAGTTGCAGCACAGCAAGTGTTTTGTAATGCCATAGAGCCTTATGAAAGGCTTTAGTGAAAAACAGAAATGGAAAAATTAGAAGTCCTTTGCTTGTTTTCTAGACAAGGAAATGTAAATGATGGGAAAGGGAAACAATTTCAATGAAATTGTAATGAGTATAACTGTAAGTGAATCTGCAGGTGATGACATTTACAGATGGGCTGATAAACAGGGGGAAAAACCCATAAAAAGTTTTGAGAATACCCTGCATTGATCTTTGTAATTTCACATACTGGTATTCTAAGTAGCGACAGACTGGTGCCCTGTCCAGGGTCTGTTCCTCCTTTCGCCCATAGAATGCTATGATGGGCACCAGCCCCACTATGACCATGATAGAATAAGCAGGAGTGGATGGATGTTCTAATAACTGCTTTGATATTTATATATAAACAAGTACTTAGACCAGGATGAGAGCTCATAAAGTAGATAAACACTGTCATAGTTACTTTGACAAAGCTCACCTGTCTCTAGCTGTAAAGTGGCATCCCATCAATAAAGAAATGGTGACATTTCCTGTTCAGCGGAATCAGTTACAATTTCTTATGCACCGTGAAACAAACACAGTGAGATGTTAATATCTTCCCTAATAATATGACTGTGTTCTCACGACATGTTTTTTTTATCTGATGCTGTCACTCAAGAACTTATGTCGTTCCAGAATTGGAGGCAACATTCTGTCGTTGTGTAGTTGCAGGATTTACCATTGGTTGTGTTTCAGTTGGCCACCAAACAAGGAATTTCTTTATTTTATTTTTTTTTTGTTCAAAAGTTTTTTGACGAAGTGAACCACCGGCCATTAGAAGAGGTAGCAACATAAATGGCTGGCCTACATCTGAGCTCATTTCAGATATCTCAAAAGGCATTTTGACTCTCCAACATGTGATTGACTAATATATTGAATTGTTATTTCACTATTCATAATATAATTTCAGTTATCTTGAGATATCATTTAGGATAGTCAAAATTTTGTTTTTCCCTGTCAAAACTTTTTATACAAGTAATTATGGATGATCAGGAAAGCTGATTTTATGATGAATGCCCGTCATAGGCCTGCAAGCCTGCGCTCAGGGCGGTAATTCAAGATATTACACATACTCTCACATACTATTACACATACAAGACATTACACATACTCTCTACACATTTGCAGATCTCACACGGCAGAAGTAAAGCAGAAATTATGTGTGTAAAGATAGCCAACTGAGAAACTACTTGACTTGTAACCAATGATTTGTCTGTATTTCTGGATGTTGAAGAAAAAATATATCAGACTTAAGTGACCATATGTTTACAGATTGATCTACACACTTGTAGATCTTAGTACACATTTTCAAATCTTAAAAAACATTTGTAGATCAGAATTCTCATTTGTGGATTTTTTACACATTTGCAAATTAATTACACAACTTATTTTACACATTGGCAGATGCTCATACAGACAGACAAATTTCCAACATTTTCAAATCCCACTGCACAAACACAATTTTAGATACAGACACACAACTCTGCACACACATTTGCAAATAAGTTTGTACCAAGATTTTTTTCCATACATTTTCTCCAAAACTGTAGGTTGTGGAGGAGTGAAAAAGGATGACACGAAGGAGGAAGGTTCAACACCCTCCCTACTCTAGTCAAACTGAAAGCAATCGTACAACAGAACACTACCAAAGAAACACAGGTTACCAAGGAAACCTAGGTGTCCCCCCCCCCCCGAACCCCGAACACTCAATAGGGTAATAAATAACAAAAAACAAAAAAAATCTATAATAATAATCTAAAAACTTTGGTTTTCTACAAACATCAAAAACGGCTGAACTTGGGCTCCGTAGAATGATCCCAGAACATCTGTGCCAGAGGATGAGGACAACAAGAACGGACTGCAGAGGGGTTAAGCCCCGACGATAAGGATCGCTGGAAGGAGGACAGTGGTCCATTAAAACAGTGAAAGGGGGTCTTCCTCTACGCAGAGCGTGGGCCGTTATTACCTGATCCTCCACCAGGACATGACCAGGTTTGAGCCTGTCAATACAGATAGTCTCTACGGCCTCCCAAATCTAAAAGAAAATGTTTAGGCCCTTTTCAAGGACTCTGAAAGGACCATCATAAAAAGGCGGTAGTGGTGTTCTGTGTGCACTGTGTCGTGCAATAACAAATTTAGAGGCCTGTAATTTCTCAGGAAAAAAGAACTGGGGGAAACAATGGTGAACAGGGTTAGGAACATGAGAAGAGTCTCGCTGAGGGAAAAAACGTTGCCACAGTGGGCCAAACTCTGGCGTAGGTTAATCAGGTAAAAATGCCCCAGGAATACGTAGGTGATAATGGAACAGCAGTTCAGCTGTGAAAAGCGCCAAG